CAGTTGAAACAGACAAATTTGGTGCATCCCAGGAAGATTTTATGCATCCAACAGGCTCCTCTGCTAAGACATTCTTTGGGGATTCTTGTTGTTAGCTTGCTTCTTCCTGGCATTGCTTTCAGAAGAAATCACATTTAAAGCTATCCAATTCTGACAGTTTAAGCTTGCCTAAATCAGGATGAAGAGTAGAAAACAAAATCACCATTCCTAAAGAGGGTGAGAAAGACTACATGTCGATGAGGGACCAGGGGGAGATGATGATGGATGCCAGAACACAAGTGAATGCAGATGAGAACTGAGAACTACATTTCTCTTAGAGAACATTTGTGGTGAGCCGTTTATTTAAAATAAAACATTTGAGAGGGGTCACTTTAGCATATGTGGAAGAACTAAGAATGACTCCTTAAGTCTTTAATTTCAGTTTGTACAGCATATCAGCCTATAAAGAATGCTTTTCCCCACGTGAGATGAGAAATAGCTGTCATACGTTTGTATTGCAGTTATTACTACCAGACTTACTAGAAAAAAGTCTGTGGACAGTCTTAAAGTAATGGGTGGTCTTATAACAAACGTGCACCTGCAGGGTTTGAAGTTATGCTGTTCTAAGTGAAATAATCCTAAGCATACCTGCTTTTTCAATTGTAAGAGGCTGAAGAAAACACAGGTATTCCTGTATTGTTCAGACCGTGGATAGAGAGGCTGCTGAATGTTACTGCCAGGTACCTTTGCTCACCCAGAGCGCGTTCTGGGCTCAGCATTTCCTAATGGGGAGAGAGCATCAGTTAAAACCTAGCTTGTAACTGAGAATGCATCCTCTTTAACATGAAGGGAAAAGCTGCTCTGCTTGAAGTAAGGGTAGCTACAGAACGCAACACAAGTTTGCCTGACGGATGAATGGGAACAATGGATATTGCAGTCCTAGACTTCGGTGAGGCCTTCGATGCTGTCCTGCTTAAGATCCTGCTGATGACACCATTGGAAGTATGGCCTGGATGAGCAGATATTGAGGTGCATCAGATATGGAGGTGGATGAGCAGATATTGAGGTGCATCAGAAACTGAACGGCCAGACCCAGAGGACTGTGGTCAGTGGTGCAGCATGCAGTGTGTAGATAGTGATGAGTGAAGTGCCAATAATGGATGGCATCTTCATTAGGATCCACGTGAGAGGCAGTTCACAGATCAGGATGTTGTGAGTAACTGTTAGTTGTATTTTGCCAACAAACGCAAGATCTCTGGAATCTTTCTATCTAAATGGTTTATGGGTAGCCTGGATCTGCTACAGTTTGTCCTGGAACCACTGAGCTAAACAGAGATCTTCATAAATTATGAGTTCTTATTTTTGAGAGACACTCAGTGTCTACAGCTCGGGAATGAGCAGAAGAAAGCCGAAAATTCAACAATGCAATTTAATTCTGGTCTGATTATTTTATTTGAGAATTTTAGAATATTAATGAGATTGGTGATAACAGGAATAGAAACAAGACTGTCAAAGCAGCCCAACTTCCTTTCAGGGTAACAAGGGTGGCAGCTGCGTGGGTGGTCAAGATGCTGCGCGTGTCTCTTTCTGACAAAAGCAAGATAAGGAAATAACCTAGGATGGAAAATTTGGAAAGTAAGTACTGGCAAGCAGTTCAGATGATTCCTTCTCCTATTAAAAAAAAATGGAATTACAGAAGAATAGGTTCTAGTCAGTATTTTAGTTCATTACCTGAATGTCGGCATAAAGAGAGGCTCACTGCATTTCTGACAGCAGAGAGCAGACGACAATGGGGAGTTCAGAACTGCGATTCAGAATGAGTGATGCTTTGAGAAGCAGTGAGAAAAAAGCAAGGTGAAATTCAGCGTGTTAAAATATAAGCTGCTCACCTAGGCTGCAGTCATCTCTGGGAGCAAGGCAGCAGTCAGAAATGAAACTTGGAGTGTGGTGCTGCTGGAAGAAAAGCAGTCATCACCGCAGCGCACACAGCCACGAGCAGCTTACGTGCTCTCTGCTCTTCCAGGTCAGCATCATGGAGGGCTTTGCTAAAACTGAGTTTTGTGCTTTGAGATGGTGGGCAAAGAAAAAAGCACAGAAAGAATCAGACACAGATGGTGTGAAAAAACCCGGAACCTCAGTGAATCAGTTTGGTTTGGCAGAGAGAAGAAATTCTTTGTTTTGGTGTTGGGGTTGTTCTGTGTGGAGGGGAAGGAGGAAGGGAAGAGAGCATCAGATTTCCTGAGGATTATGCCAAAATATCTACAGTTGGAGACATTTAAGACATTTCAGGACAGTTTAGTCAAGTATCTGTATCAGTAGTACCTTGGGATGAGAAGTAGACTAGAAAATGCCCATGTAATCACCTGATGCATCTACATATATAGATATACATATATATACACATAAACCTGTACCTCCACTGAGCAGGTGGAGTTTCAAAATGTCTGTATTGCAGTATTTAACTGCACTTTGAAATACTTCTGATGGATCTTGAATATTCTAGAATAGATATTTCTGTACCCTGCAAACCGAACTACTACTACTGGCTTCTAATAACAGACTTCCCATGTTGTGAGATTCACACAGTGAAAGTTTTCTATCCAGATTTTTCCCCCTTTCTGTAAGAGACAATATAGTGCATTTTAAGTCATATTTTGCAGTGTAGTTATACTCACCTGTCCTAACACACAATAATACAGGAGCCAACCCCAGCTTGCTGGCTGGACCTGAGGGGGAGAAGACTGAAAGTCGATAGCCGGTCTTCTCACAGTACATTCAAGACAGATGTGTGTTTATTTTGTTAGTGGTATTTTTTCCCTTGAGAACTTCTTGATACAAAGTATGTTTTATATAATTACAGCTCAATTTTCAATTTCTTCGCTAATAGTATCAATGCCACATGTACAAAGTGCCCTCAGAATAAAAAAAATTAAGGGTCAGAGGGACAAATGCAGTTCTCTGCAGAATTATCCAAAGAAGTAGAACACTAAGCATAGATCTGTACCGTTTTCTGTTCAAGACAGACTACTTTTAAGTGACATGTTAAAACCAATCTGTTATCTACACAGCATTGCTTTTCAGCTTTGAAAATCAAACCTACATCATCTAGAAGGCTCAGCATGCTATTTTGTACTCCCACTGTAGCACCAGTGGCATTCTGTTCCTTGAATTTTCTGAGCACAGTGCCTGTTGGTGCTTCCTGCTTTAAAGAAATACAACAGTGGAGCCAGGTCAGAAGAACTCAGCAGCGCGTTGTCAAAAATGCAAGTGAACAACAAGTAGAAAAAGATCAGCCTTCAAGTCTAAAGTCAAGCTACAGCAACAGCTTCAGTTGAGAGCATCGGAATAAAACTCCTGGCCTTCCATACATTTGGTCAGCTGCACACAGCCTGGCAACTGAAGGTAGGCAAGTAGAGCAACTTTTACATGCTGCAAGGCGATGCTCACAGCCCAGATCCACTACTGGGACTCCTTGTTTTTAACTCTGCATTTCCCTCCTCACTTTGCAAATAGCTGCTCAAGCATTCACAGTAGCCAAAGATAATTTCATCCCGATTCCTTTTTTCGTAAGGAAGCAGTAAAGCCGCTCATTTTCTTTAATCCTGCTCTGTTTGTGGAACTGGACAGAAGGTTTCATAAGTAGGTCTGCCTTTCTTTCTCTCGAGGAACCGGAAGCTGCTCAGTTCTTCACATTAGGGTGAACTAGTAGTTTTGTTCTTTTTCAGAGGGACTCAATGCAAGTCAAGTTGCACTTTAAAACAGGACAGTTGAGTAGTAGTTTACATTACCAAATTATGTCTAATTTACCATCACTCATGGTGCTTAACTTTAAAACTTCAGCAGTAAGATTCTCCTACTTGCACATCAGGTCTTACAAAACAACAAGAATTGGTTTGTCTACTATTATGCATGCAGTTTTGTATCATGCAGCCACAGGGGGTATTTCAGGTACAGAAAAATGATGGGTTTAATTCAGCATTTCACCCAGCTATTTCAGCATGATGCACGTTAAAATAAAAATGTAAAGTTCCATTCAAGTTCCACAACAGCTTGTGTCCTCAGCATTATTTGTGGCAGGGTGTATCAGCCTAGACAAAGCAGTGTGCTTTTGCTACTCAGTTGCTTGGGCAACTGAGTTTAATTTATGGAACATGAATAATTCAGAAGTTGCCATTGAAGTGATGGCTTTGGAGACCATAATCTTTCTGTGGTGGCAAACCAAACTGAAATGATTTGACCAGAACAGATAAGAACTTTCACACACTAGAGACACTGAATCCATTGGGAGATGAAAAAAAAGGACTCACACACACCTTCAAAGATTTCCTTCAGATGCAAGTAAAGCTTAGGTGTGCAGATAGGATCTACCAGTCTTAAATCCTTAAAGGAAACCAGTCCGTGAAGACAAAGACCAGTTCAGTTGATAGTATGCACTAGCCTACTGGAGCGCCCTGCTTTCTAATTCCAGCTTAACAGTTCTAATTCACTTTAACAATTAGATGCAGCCTGGTCTTGAGCATCTGAATGGACTGCAGTTTCTATTTGTATGCAGTGTGATACAGGTCAGTCAAAACATGGAACTGAAATGCAGACTATTTAGACATGCATTGCTCATCCTCCTTGCTAAACAAAATCAAAGGTAAAACCATTGAAAAAAGCAGAAGCTGAAGCAGTATACAACAAAATATGAAAGCAGATCTCCACTCACTGACTTAAATCACAGTCAAGTCTATCTCGTGCATCCACAGTTTCCCTTGCTGTGCAAGTGTGCAACCTCACTCTGAAGAAAACTGCTGTTTTGTGAATATTTACTTTAAAGCAGGCACCTATTTCTTGTGCTTCAAGACCAATCAAAACCCATTAGAAACATTTTCCAGATCAATTGAGACAGGTGAACACTCCTGAAAAAGTCTAGTGCAGCATACCAGGTGTAACCTGGAGTTTTCTTTTAAAGTTGAGGATTTCAGTTAAGCACTTCACAAACGCTCACAGTTCAACCATAGACACAGCCACGCTTTTGCTTAGCATGCTACAGCAGAAACTTTATTTAGTTCATTTTGAAAATATTTGCAACCAAAATTTATTTTTGCAAATTCACAGAAATAAGCTTTAACATATAGGCTGTATACAACTCAAATACAAGTAATACTTTCAGCAATAACTTACTAATACAAACTAATGATAAGCTACAAACTCACAAAGAATTGTAAACATTTTGCACAACTGTCAGTCCTTTCTTTTAGGCAAAGTGCTCTTTTGATGACAAATAAATTAACAAATACATAACTAGAGTGATCTACTTCCAGACAATACAAAAAGATGTTTAATAAGGCTTGTAAACAATGTAATATGTAATTATGCAGAATCCATAAAAGTGTCTTGCAGGCTAAATGTATACTTACATACCTGGGCAGCAAAAACGTTCTTGAAAATGTTTTAGTTGTTAACTAAAAAGTTAACATTAGTAACTTTCCAGCGGTAACTTTCATACACAGTAAGTGACTTAAGCTTACATCCTTAGTAGCTTATATCCCTGACAGAAAGAAATTAGGTATGACTTATTGGCAGTTGTGTCATTGAGTGGGGTAGCAAAGGCTGGAGTCCAAGAGCTGTAGGTGAATGAGCTACAAAAACAGAAAGATTTACTTGTCAGCTTCATCAGAAGTAGAAAAATATAAGCTAGTAAAATCTCACTGGTCCCAACCACTGAACCAAGCACTGTTCTCTAAACAGGTCTGACGCCAGGAGGCACGGGTGGCATCACAAGTGCTTCCACCAGCCCCATACTTCAGGCCCAGAGCTCACTTGCCTCCAACCACAGCCCACCTCACGCCACTCTGGAGAAGAACGAGCTCCAGCCACACGTGCAGCTGAGAGTCCAGGCCTCCCAGATCTTTCAGACACTCCAAATCATGAGTTTGAGCCCAATTTGTTGACACATCAGGACAAATAACACACAATAACATTTTTTAAAGCAAAGCTGCCCCCATTATTTAGTGGGGCATATATTAGTGCGAAGGAAGCTCAAGTTTTCAGTACACCTACAGTTTGTGTGGTAAGGGTCCAGGAGTCAACAGTTTTCACTAAAATTAGATACTGTAGAAAATACAGCATGAATGCTGCAAAAACAATTGTTTGAATTCTTGCTACTAATACTCATGGTTTGGAGGGAGCACAGGAAGTAGTCTTCACACCCAGACCTTCAGCTATGCTACTGCAGTGAGTGCTCCTGATACAAGTGCCTTCTTCACAAGGCACAGAGAGCCAATACTGTATTAAGATATTCTATAAAGCATAAAACAAGAACTCTGGTAAGCTTCTTTAATGGGAGCCTGGTAAACTGCTCTTGCCACAGTCAAGAATGATTTTACTTGGATGTGCAAAGTTGTACCTACCATCCATGTAACTGTGCAGGGCAGTTAACATAGTCCCATCTGGGGGTACATATGCTGAATATGCCATTTCTTCTAGCATGGGTGGAGACAGCCTGGAGGGCTGAACTGCTGTGACTGGAGCAGCAGATGAATGGTTAGGACTAACGTGTTTCTTATGGCGCGCTCTGCAATTCTGAAACCACACCTGAAAAAAAAAAAAAAGGAAAAGATTTGCATCACGCAGATCAATCGCATTCTGCTTTGACATTAACTTGATATAAACCTCAGAGCTCAGGTAGTTAATTGGGCCTCAAATGTAGCACCGACAGTCCAAAAGAAGAAATACCTACTTTGAAGATGCATGGTGCCTTAAGCACACATATGAGCAAGTCAGGAAAGCTTCTGTAGCAACAAATAGCCCACAGGCACTGCGAGGGACTGCGTGGTTGCTGGGGCAGGCGCCTGGCTGGGCACCCACAGCTGCTGCATGCAGGGGCATGGCAGGGGTGCAGCCACCTCCTGCGCCTCAACGCTGCTGGCAGTAACAGATTGTTCAGGGGACACCGATTTTTCTTTTTCCATGTGAAGTGCATGAGCTTCAACTTTTCAAAAGCTTGACCGCAGTTTCCAGCTACCTAATTCCTGTGTATCTGTCAAATCTCCTGGGCTAGGAGGAGATAAGGGAACAGCAAGCTTCTTTCTAATTATATAAATTTATAAATCAATATAACAAATACATTTATATAGAAAAAGAGCATGAATGTGATGGCTGCCAAGAGGAATCTTCAGGCAAAGTAAGAACCGTAAGAACCTAAGTTTGTGTTTCTCAGTTTTAAATGGCTTGGGCATATATTTTACCTTTGCTCTCTAAAACAGATCGCTAGGTAATCGGTCCTAATGTCTGCTGTATATCACAAATCATCTTCAGAAAGCACAGCTCTTTAAGAATGTGCTACTGAATTCATGAATTTATGTTTATGAGAAGCTCAGTGCCAATTACCTGCTCTTCAGGCAGTAGAGTTTCTTCCTTGACAATTTCTAATCCTCCATACAGAGCGCAATACTGCAAATTGTTCACAGTGACACTTTGGTTCTAGACCTACTCCTAGCTAAGAACAGTTTTAATAAGCCACCACATTAGATCTTTCTCCACCTCACAATAACTACACTAATTGTTAAACTGCCCCTGAGCATTTCCAGCAGATTTGTAACGTAGAGCAGTCACCTGTATAACGCGCCTGCTCAGGCCTGTTCTTTCTGCCAGTTTCTGAAGCGTTTGTGCATCTGGATTGTTGTCCTGAGCAAACTGTGCTTGCATAACCTGAAAAGATAAGAGTTGGATTTTTTTTTGTGCAGTCCCAAGGGTGGCATCAGAGAGTTCTCTCAGACTGTAATCCTTTTCCTTCTCTGTTCTAAGGGAACTGTTGTAATCTCTAGTCCCCAGACAGTCCCCAGTAAAAGGGAGAAAAACATATTTTAAATAACCCACTAAATTCACACCCAAAATAGAAGCCCCCTATACTGCTTAACTGAACCGAGACTTGTATGAAAAATGAATTACGCTTGGAAACAGTCAGAAATGGAAGCAGCATTCAGTTGTGATTGTACTAAAGGGGCTGTGTGAGAAAACACACTGCGAAGCAATTCAAGCACACTTGATGAAGAGAATGGTTACAGCAGCAGACCACAGCAAACGGCATCAGGAGGAATTGAGCTTTGGTTGGGTTCTTTGAGCTTGTCAATCGCTACCTGCCTCTCGCACCGTACGGAGCAACTTGATGCTCTTTCCAGCTACGTGGAGAACGGAGGCAACTTGGAAGCTCCTCGTACCACATTTACTTCCCAGGGATGTGAGGGGCACTCAGGCTGCACCCTGGCAGACCTGCGCTATGCAGCTCTTTGGTTGGACCCATCTTTTACAAACCATCACATTATCACCTGAATTACAATTCTTGAGGAAGTAGATGTCAACTTGACCTGCATCCTGAACAGCTCTGGAACATGTAAGATTTTACCTTAATTAAGAAGTAAGACTTCACAGATTTCTGCAGGACTTCTTCAGCAATTTAGTAAACTGCAGTTTCTCATTTCTGGATTTTGTTCCTTGATGGTCTGCAAATTTTGCCTTGCTTCATCTCTGAGGACATCAGACAACTACTCTTCAAATTCAGAATGTTTAAACTATTTATTTTTCCTACTGAGTTCCATAAAAGAACATTAAAAACACAGACATCCTTCTACATCCTTAGGCACACTACTGGAGGTCTTATGTCAAGAGCAGGTGCCGAGATGCACAGATGCACTGAGCAGACAGCAAGCGTCTGAAAAGATCTCGTATCTGCTCAGGTAGGTTACAATCCAGTAAAACGGAGAAAGCAAACACGGAAGTTTAACTGATGTCAAAACAGAAGAAGGCCTGAATCCAGTTCCTACTCCGAGAGCTGGACCTGATGTTCATTCAGCTCGTGTTGGGAAAGTCTCCTTCCTGCAGAAATTCACACCTGATATCCAGAGCCTTTGCACCTTACACCCCTTCCAGGTTGTGCTCTTGTTTTAGATTAACAGCACCTTGACTTCAGTCATGGATCAAACAGCAAATCAAGCATCATACAACCACGTGCCACATTAAACCAAGTGCATAATATACCAGTGCATAACTAGACTTGACCGCTTTTACCACAGACAAGGGCACGTGGTAGAGCAGAACAGTAGAAAATGAGCACTGCAGTAACAGTGTGCATCCAGGAACTCACAAGGGAATATAAACTGAACATGAAAGACACATAGCTAGAGCTAGGGAGAAAGCTGCTGCTTCCTTTCCACTGCAGATTCAGAAGTGTCAACCTGGTCTCGCTGTTGCCCTCCTCACAGTGATCTGGCACTGATCGAGCTGTTTTTCCCTGACAGGCTCACTTGGTGAAGTGGTGATCCGGAGGCAGAAATTAGTCATATTTGAGGCAATTCAGAGTCAACTCTTGTCAAGACAGCAACAAGACAAGAAGCTCTGAGAGCAAAGCAGATGCAGGCAGCTCCCACCCCCACGGGGCAGGCATAGCCCTACCAGGAGTTTTGATTTCATACTTCCAGAATGCCAAGGCTCTCACTTCCCTTTTGTCCTGACACTGGAAAGGAACATAACTAGTGGTTGAGCTCATATAACAGGATATTGAGAAAACATGTTTTGATAATGCATGATCAAGAACAAATTGGACAGTAAAAAAACTGCTGCCAAGAACATCAAATGCACTTCTCCTCTGTTTCACTCCACTCAGCTCCATGAAAGAGCTGCCAGCTCCCCTCACTCTCAAACATGCAGCATTGCATACTGAAGCTGGGCTCTTGAAACATGACACCAAGTCTACAGAATGCAGTATGTTTAAACAGGCAGCAGCAAAGCTCAGAGATACTTTGAGATCGAGCATGCTTGTGGAGCACTTTGGGAGGGATGAGAGAAAGGGAAGAAAAGAGGGAATGAGAGCAGACATGAGTTCCTACTAAGAGCCTGCCTTCCGGTGCACATCAGTATAGCCAAGACATGATCTAAAAGACAAGCATGTAGGAAAAATGACGACGAGATATAAACATGCGATTATTCCCCTTCCTCTCTATAAAACAGAGAAACAACACATTACTTGACAGGAGCTGAGCTGTATTCATGTGAACATTAACAGGAACCCACAACACTTACCTGTTGTTCTGAGAACACAAACTTGTGCAGTCCTTCACCGAGCACTGCAATAAAATCAAAGCTTCCTGCCTGCTAAAGTCTTGAAGTCATATCCAGTACCCATCTCTAGTGCAACTCTTCATATTACGTAACTCTAAAAATATTCTTTATTATGTGCAGTGATGTAAATGTCTGCTGAAATAGATTTCATCGAGCAATCAAAGTAGATCAACCTTTTTTGTTTCCACTCTGCAGAATTACTGGCTGCCCCCAGGGAAATAAAAAGCTCGAAGGGTAACTATTTCATATGAAACCGCTGGAGCTAACAAACTATTCCAGAAACATGCCGTGTCTTGATAGTTTTTGAAAAAGTATAAAGCATACAAGCTTATTCTTCCCCCACATATGCATCTGATTTCCTATCAGTTCAGAAGTTACATCCTGCATAAACCTGAAGTACTCAAGTTTTTAGCATTGCCTCTACCTGGAGTTGATCTGCTGTGAAGCTGGTCCGAGCTCTTTTTGCTGGCTTTGGATGATTAACATCTTGTTCTGTTAGCAGTGCTCCTTCCACACTAACCCCATTACCTGAAGCATTAAAAAGAAGACACTGTCTGCTAAGCATTCAAAACGATGTTATTCATAAATCAGACGGTCGTCTAACAACTCACAGTGGCTGGCCAGCTGAATTTCACGTGCAGAAAAGCCATGTTTTGTTCAAAGTTAAATTGACCTGACGCCACCACCCATCCTCCCCAACTGACTCCCTTGCAGATTGGTGGAGGAAAGAGATGCAGCATGACATTTTATCAACTAGATAAGCTTTGCTTTCCTTAGGATAGGAAACAAGTTACACAAACTCTCTCTCTCTCTCTTTCTCTCTCTCTCTCTCTATATATATGAAAACATTAAGTAATTTGCACATTATTTTAATTCAAGAACCTGTGCTTCCAGCCTTAGTAAAGCTGGATAATTAGCTCTTTTAAGACAGAAGATGAAGTAAAACCCAACAGTTTAATTAAAACTAACCACAAAGAGTTCTTAAAAGCAGCATTACCGTTTTCAACTTCTCTTTTCAGATTGTCCAACATGCAGTCATAATGTACTCTACAAAGGACTTTCTCTTCAACCAAAGCAAACTCCTCTCCGGTAGAAAGCTGTCTTTTGCAGGAGAAGCAGGCGAAACACGCCAAGTGGTACACATTTCCCTTAGCCCTTCGGACCCAGTCTGTGGAATGAATGTGCCTCCCACAGCGGGAGCAGCGCGTGCCGTACCGCCTGCAAACAACAAAGGCCAACAGAAGGCTGGAGTCAGATGCTAGCCAACCCAGGCGCAATGGTTGCTCCAGCAAGGTTAGCAGAAAGTGGATGTGGAAGCACAGCTGAGATCCACAGCAAGAAGACTGACCACACAGAGCCAGAGGACCACGTAACCGTGCTTCTACAGCAATAAAATCAGCAAGGTCGCAAATGATAACTCAAGGCAAGATCTCCACTGACCTATAAAAGTTAATAATTTACTTAAGGCAAAGAGCAACATTAAAGCATTTAAACTGCTATGTGAACTCACAAATCTCGCCTTTCCTTTTATGAAAGTCATCTCTATAAAGTTGTGGGTGGGAGATCGGAACAGCTGGCTTCGTGCTCAAAATTCCCCCGGTTATTCAAACACGTTTCACTATACAGGCAGCCCAGGTTACTTAGCTACAGCAGCCTTCACTGTTCGTTGTCCCCTTCTGCTGAAGGGGAGAGAGCCTGCACCTCCTTTTTTTCCTTAGTTATCATCACATTTATGATTTTATCATCTTCAATAGAAGTTCAAAGACAGGCAAATATTTACACTGTTACTGTATAACATTCTTCTTTCGAGAGGAAACTGACAGCCAGGTTATGTTGGATTACATAAATGAGCATAACTTTGTTTTTCCGCCCCCGAAGTTCACCATCCTCAGCCTCAGCTGACAATAATCCACTCTCTGTACAGATGTGAATCCCATAAATATTTTGCCTGAGGAAAGTACTAGTGGTCACAGCAAATTTTCTTCCTGCTTTGTGCACTGAAGATTCTCTTATCTTGAGCACTGAGGCCATAAGTGTCTTTCTATGCCACTCAGAATTAATAATATTCTCCCTTATGCAATTAGATCCTAATATTAAGAATGCCTCATGTTCTAAATCAAATTGATCCTAGAAAGGTGTAGCTGCTGAAATCCTTTTTAAAGATTAAAAGACTGACTTGGAGTTAATAACAGCATGTGGTATCCTAAGTCTCATACCCAAGTGCAGTCTGAGCAGAAAATCATCTCAGCTTGGCCTTGTCATCTTAGTCAGCATTACACTAAGAACGATTCTTTGCACATAAGCTAAATTTACTGTTATTTTGATAGACTTTGACTAACACCCACCCCCCCTTCGTGTCCATAGAGGTGAGTGACTCTAGAAATTCAGTGGCTGGCACAGATTAAGTAAAAGGTTTGTTATGCAGTTGCATCAGACAGGTGCGGGGCTTCCAGGTCCCTCTGCCATAAATATCCATTTAATTGCTTACAAAGTGATAAACTATATGCATGTAAATAAGCGAGCGGTGAGAACCTAAGCACCCATTTTATTTACAGACTAAGCAAAACAAGCAAGCGTGAAATTTTGTTAAATGAAGTGCTACTGCTGCACGGCATACCTGAAATAATCAAGTTTGCAGAAGATATCCTTATCTTTGATGTAGCAGCTGGTGTGCCTGCCGAGGGACGTTCTGCAAACACTGCACGAGAGACAGCGAACGTGCCAGCAGAGGTCGTTCACCTGCAAGAACACCGAAAGAAAAGAGAAGTACTCCTCAGAGCTTGCACTGCCTGCATGCATACTGTGTACTTACAAAAACTATTTATTTCTTTCATGCAACCAGAAAAAGGCAGAAATGACGTGTGCCATGATTCACGGAAAATAAATCCTCAAGGCAAATCTGCCTATAGAACCGCATGTGTTAGGGGCTAATGAATGTGACAAAAGTCTTCAAAATAAGCTTTCATGGCTTTGTAATTCAAAGCACAGGAAGAGGAAGCAGGAGATCCAAGTTCCACGTGGTTATTTGGTGCCTGGCTCTGTCCTCACATTATTGGGTTAACAGAGCAAGTTCTGGCATCACCTTACTGCTAACTTGCACTCTGATTTCCCAACCTGCAAAATCTGTCTACAATGAACAAAATCTGCGAAGTGATTTGAAGTTTTACAGTGCAAACACTGAAGAAAAAAAGCAAAACAGTCAAGTAGAAACACAACATGAGCTGCATCTTACCAGACGGCTGGTAAGCACAGCTGGTGAACAGAGCGGGAGCTCTGAAACATCAGCAGTTGTTTTACAGCTAATTCAAAAATTGTTTAAAATATAATATCCATAGTGCAATTACAGCCTGGAAAGCAGCAGCAAATCAGGGGCTTTGAGAAGCCATGGGTAAATTTTGGGCAAATAAGTTACCCAGAATTTTCATTTCTCCATTCTTATAAAGATAATTCTTCATTGTGCAGACATTCTGCACCACCCATCAGACAAATCATTTCATTTGAAAATCCAGTACTCCCAATGACCAAAAAAAATGAAGTGATAACCCTGTGGATAATTCTGTATCATACAGGAGAACTTCTGTGATCCAAACAATGTCAAAGGGAAAACTTATGTGAACCAAACAATAAACAAGTTTGCATATGTACTGTTTCCTTTAAAAACTTCCACAGCGATTTTCCATCCCATAGGGAACAGCAGGTTTGCCAGCCCTTACATGAGGAATGGCAAAGCAGGGATCTGCGGGAGCCGGGATGTGCCTTCCGTCAGAGCGCTGCCGACAAGGCACAGAGGAAGCGCGATGCTGGCTGCCGGCTCAGGCTGAGGCAGACCATTGCAGTCATCCTTCATGTAATACTGCAGCTCGCAGCTGCCTGGTGCTCTCCCAAGATCTATCCTCGTTGGCAGCCATAGTTTCACACACTGACAAATTTGCACCACAGTATAACGTGGAATCGTTGATAACAGCTGTCACCAAATTGATCCTCTCAACTATTTTGTTAGATGGGCACAGTGCAGGCGAAAAGGACGGCAGCACCAGGGCCGGTTGAGCACATCCACAGCAGGGCTGCCAGGGGATCAGCTCCCCCGGCCCAGCAGGCAGCCGCGCACCGCTCTGCACGGAGCCCCACGCACGGACCGCTCGGCACAGGCTCTTCCACAGAGCTTTGTCACACGGCTGCCGTGATGTCACCCACCTGCCTTTATCATTGTACGGGGCTGAATTTAGGAGACGTAACTGCTGCACATCAGTAAGACGTCTCCCGGTTGTCTTTCCCTATCTATACAGAAAGGAATGATGTTTAAGTTGAAGTCAAAATAGTCATTTGGGGATCTTTTGCTCTGAGCTGCATTTACACAACTTCTCAAAGAGCAGACAGCAACATTCAGGAGATGAGCAAGCAGGATGCCGCTGGAGCTCACAGAACCAGAAGCAATTTTCTGTCATCCCTGCTCCGTTATCCTGCTCCGAGTGCAAACGCACATACAAAGGTGTCTGGGGTTTAACGGAACAAAAGGCGTGCGGAAGCTCTCCACGACCTGCACATACCCTGCTTTAAATGAGTGCCGACCTGGCATACACATTCCTTTGACCTCCTCGTTACAACTGGACTCTAAAGAAAATTACCCAAAAAAAAGAACGTTCACATTTTCGGTGATGCTACAGACTTCCACTTTGCAGGATATATTATGAATTCAGTCTGCATCTGTTGGAATCGAGCGACCTAAAGCACAACTTTCTAATCTCACTTCTGAAAGGACAGAAGGCAGGACTCTGACCCAGCATAACTTCAGTGGCTGCAATCCAGATGGAAAATTGCCACCTTCGAACTGCCTTGACATCTTATATTCAAAGCCAGACTTTTGTTAAATAATCATGCTTAGTCCTGAATGCTAAAACTAGCAAAAACATTTCTCAATCGTGGCAACTTCTCAGAGATTACTAGAGCCCCTTTTTGAAGGAATACGTAGTTTCCACCTTCTGAATACGCACTGCTTTCCTTTCAGATTCACAGCATCGCACGGAATTTTTTTAGCTAACAGCGAACGGGTCAGTGCTACCAACTGCTTTATCAGGAGCGTACAGCACAACCAACACGTTACCCACACCAGCGTTCCTTCTCACTCTCTTATGAAACACGAGAAGGATACACAGCCCTAAAGCAGGAGAGCGTCCTCACAACACAGGTATCGCTTCAGATCTCCTGTGAGGCCCGAATCTCACAGACGCACACTTCAGAGCTTTGAAAACGTCCGATTCTGCAGTAATTCTACTCATCTCTGCAAGTCGAAGAAGAGGCTCAGATGTTACGGATGCCGACTGCGCAGCAACGGCGATGAAGGAAAGCGGACGAGAAGCATGCGAGAGAAAGGGCAGGACTGCTCAGAGCTCGGCCGTCCGCCCGCAGCGCCATCGCGTTTTGCCACCGCACTCAAATCGGCCGTCAGATGCGCAGGACGCGGCACGGCTGCGAGACGCCGGAGCCCCGCGGCCCGGCTCGGCCCTCTCCTCCCCGCGCGTCGCGGTGCCCGCCGCGGCGCTCCGCCCTCCCCGCGGTTCTCGGGGTGCGGGACCGATACGGCCGCCTCGGCGGTGGAGAGGCGCGGGGCCGTCGGGACGCGCTTACCTTCAGCAGGTACTTGTCCACGATCTCCAGGCCGCAGCTGCTGCACACGCACTTGCTGGGGGCGCAGCCGGAGCCAGAGGCCATGGACCGCGGCGAGGAGGAGGGCGACAGGGCGGCGGAGGAAGAGCAGGAGTCCTCGTCGGCCGCCGCGGGGCTCTCCTGCGGGGAGCGCACGGAGAGCTCTATGAGCGCGATCCGCCGCCGGCCTCGCGCAGAAGCGGGGAACGCCGCGGGGAGCCCCGCCCGGCCCGACCCGTTCGACCGCGAGCACCTGCGGGGCCGCGCCGAAGCCCCGCGGGTGGGTCACGGCGGGAGCCGGAGCTCGTCCGCCGAGCGGAGGCCGAGGAACCCGAGCGGGGAGAGACGGAACCGCCGGCGGCCGCGGAGCACACAGCCCGGGTCCCGTTCCGCACCGGGCAGCGGCGCGCGTCCGCTCACCTTCTCCGAGGGGCCGCCGAGCGCGGGCAGGTCTTTATCCTCCAGCCTGCACACGAACATCGGGTCGCTCTTCCAATACATGGCCCGGCCCTACCGCATACCAGCTCCGCGAAGGGCGGCGGAGCGCCACGAGGCTGCTCCGGGAACCTCGCTCTGAGCCTCTGCCCTCGGCGCCTGCCAGAAAAAAGTTTTGTGTGTGAGGGGGTGGGCCGTGCCGCGCGAGGACGGCCTTCCGCGCCTGCCTGCTCTGCCCTCCCGCGCAGAACCCGCCTCCGAGCGCTGCCGCGAACCCGCACCGGAGCTGTTAGAGAGCAAAGAGCACCGTCAAGGAAAAAAGAAAAAACCCAAAGGACACCACATACTCCTCCTCTTTCCCCCCTCCTTCCCTCCCCGTTTATCTTCGTCGTTTGTCACAGCTTCTCCGCCTCCAGCCCCCCGAGACTAAACAAAAATTCGAGCTGCATCTCCCTCCACATCAGCGAAGGAACGCAGCGGTGCGGGTGCACGGGAGGGATTTTCCGAGCCCCGCAGCTGAGCACAGCTCTGCAGCTCACGCACTCCAAGCGCCGTCTGCGCCGTGTTCACGCGTGCCTACGCCGCCCGGATTCCATTATGAAACCTTTCTCGTTAAGCTAAAGAAGGAACACCTGAGGTGACCAAAGGCCGTAGTTCTGAACTCAGCTTGTTGCTAATTATCACCGGTGTGTTCGTCTGCGCTGCATTTGGAGGCTGCTCGGGGCCGCCCGCCCGCAGCACTCCCACAAACCCAGCCGCGTCCCCTAACGGAGGGGCTCCCTGTGTTACTTGCGCGTTTTTACTACGATTACAAACGCTCCTCCCAGAGTTTCCCCGACTACTGCCGCGCTCGGGACAGCGCAGAACGAGCAGCCCACCCGCCGCAGGTGGCGGCGATAGACGCGGGCTGCTGCTCCGCGCGTGCTGAGCCGGGCAGGTGACGCTAATTAAACCTGCCGTTACATCCCCAACCTGTGCACCTCTCTTTGTGAGCTTACTCTGATGACAGATGGTGGATTTTCTACAAGGCGAACGGAGAGAGCTGCCGCTATGCGGTATTGCTCTGAGTTTGAGAAAAGGGAATTCAGTTTTTGAGGTGCTGTAAGAAAGGATGAACCCCATACTCCTCACTCCCCTTTCGCCTTTCTTTCGGGTTTGGGGCCCTGTCTGTGAGACTGGGACGGAGCCCCACGTACCGCTGCACCCCGCTCGCTTGCGCGGCGTTCTAACCCCTCAGCCCGGAAAGAATCTCACTTAAATCACCCTTAGGACCCCAACAGCTGCCGCCCAGTAACGTAGCCGGGACGCTGGGGGACGCGGTGTTTCGCTCTAAGTGCAGCGAAGTTCGGGACGGCGCGGTGGAAGCCGTCCGGCCGCGGTGGGCAGCGGGAGCGCTGCGTCCCGCCGTGCCCCCCTCCCCCCCCGTGTTCCCCGCCCCAGGGGAACTCTGCGCCCCGACGGGCGGGGCGGTCCGGAGCGCCTCCGATCCCCGAGCGGTCCCGCGGCCCTCCGCGCACACCTAGGAGCGGCTTTCGGGCGTCTCTCCGCCCGGGTACCTGCACGCCCACGGCGCCGAGCGGATCGCGGAGGGGAGGGAACGGCTACGGCCCCCGTCGTCGAAACGCGGCCGGGAGTGCCGCTGCAGGAGGCGAGCGGCGGAGAATCTCTCCGTCCGTCCTGACCGCCTGACCTTCCCCGTCAGATAAATCCCGAGGCACGGCACGAGAGCTATCGCCTGTTCCAGATGGCACCGCGGAAAAGCGGCACCTGCCCTGGGGGTCGCCAGAGAGATGCGACGTGGAAGAACCAGAGGCAGAGAGCCGTGGAGGAGGCCGGGGGCCCCTGCAGCGCCCTTCGTTGCGCCTTCGATGCTTTCCCCTCGGTACTAACTAGTTTACTGCGCAGTGTTGGTGTGCGCTTCACGAAAGGCTGCGTTTTGGATTTCTGTGAAGCAGCGCCTTCCTGCACGCGCACCTTTAATCTCTGATAAACACAGCGTCAGGAGCCAACAAAATCCTTTCGCGCGTTGTTCCCCGCAGCGATAGCAAAACGCGCAGCAGTAATTCATAAGATGTGTGCTGGAGGAAGGAAAAAATACGCACGGGAGATTTATCGGTGTTTCTTCTCGTTCTCGGTGCACGCGGCCGCGACTGCACCGCGCCCCTCAGCCCGTCCCGCGCGGCTCCCCGCGGCCCCACCCGCGCTCTGCTCCGTTCCCGCGGCCGCGTCGGTCCCGCGCGGCGCTCTGGGTCCGGCCGGGGCCGATCCCGCGGCCAGGAGATCGGCGGCCCCGGGGACGCGAAGCCACCGAGGGACGCGAAGACGGCGCGCCTCGGGACCTCAGGCGGAGACAGTGAAGCTCGGCTACTTCCTCAAAGTCCTGTCTAAACTTCTTCGCTTCGGTTACCCGCTCTCGGAATATTAGTAAGTATCGCTAGCGTAGCATCGTTTTTGAGGAGGTGAAAGCAGGCGGCCGCACAGAACTTAGTGGCAGGGAGCAGCGGGCCGAGGGGAGCGGAGCTGCCGGGGGCGGTCTGGGGGGGGCCCGTGCTCGGCCTCGTCTCGTCGGGACTGAGAGCGCTGAGGAGAAGCCGGGTGGGAGCGCGGAGGACCCTCCGATGGGGGACCTCGTCTGTTCCTCTGAGAAGTAATGCAAGGACAGATGGAGGAAATGCTAATCATCTGCGCGCAGGTGAGATCTTTTAAATATGTGACGGCAGGGCACGGGGCTGAGCGCGGCCAGCAAGAGTTGTAACGAGAGGGTGCTGGCATTGGGCTTCTCGAGCAAAAAAAGCACCGCGGAGCACTGCGCGCGGCGGGACGCCTGTCTCTGAAGGGAGCTCCAGCAAAACGTGTTCACAGCGAAAACGAACGGGCTGCTGAGAAATTAAACGTGGCACCGCGGTCTGTTTGCAAAAAACTGACACCGACACCAAACTGTGGACAATCTGAGCTGCCGCTTCCTATTGCCCTGCCGGGCTCGGCCCGCTGTCGTCGCCCACCGCTCTGGGTGTCCCCGGAACAACGGCCGAAGGCTCTGGCCCACCCGCGCCTCTGCCACAGCCGGACCCGGGGAGGTGCGGCGGGTTTGGACTGAGCGCGGGGCTGCGGAGGCGAGCTGCGCTCCGCTCGCGGTGTTCAACATCGCTGCCGAGGGGAACGCGGTCCGCCCTGCGGGATGGAAATGAGCTTCCTCTGCGCAGCCCCGTCTCGCACCCTCACCTCCCCCCTCGTTTATGTCCCGCGGGGGTCCCCGCGCCCCCCGAGGGCAAGGCGAGGACCGCCAGCAGACGCTGCCGTGACTCCGTGCGGTCCGCTCTTTGTGCAGCCCAGGTCCACGCGGTCCCTTTCTTGGCCAGCAAGCTGTCTGGAAAGGAGATGGGTTAAAATGCGGAGCTGATAACTGTGGGGACAAAATTGACTTCCACGCACGTTGCCTTTCCTGTCTCAGGCATTCTCTTTCTCATGCTTTAACATTTGTCCACCTATGGGAATCTGGAGGCTTTTCATCTCTAAGTCTCAGCATCCTGATCTCGGGGGGATGGGGGTGGGGGAGATGAATTGGCGGCGGCTCTGTGGCGGAAGTCAGGCAACGAAGTGAAGCCAGCACACTTGGGCTTTCTCTTTGTGAGTTCTCACTCCCCCTGGCTCCAGCCTCTGGTGAAAGCTGCAGAGTTTGGACTACTCCTGAATTTCTGTTTCTGGACTGGGTTAGCAAGAAGTAAACCAATCGAGTCAGTCTCTTACCCGTAACTTGTTTTCCATACCTGTGTGACGCACTTTCCTTGGGCAGGGCCGTTTGTCTCCAGCTCTTGGGTCCAGCATTTTCTGTATCTTTTGCTCGTGACTATTCCAGCATGGAGCTCTGTGTCTCTTGGTTGGGAATGGCCAGATGGGTCTGAGGGAAAAGTTTCTGTGTCCAACTTGGATGTGTGAGACAGCGACTCCCTCACCAAAGTTCAGAACCTCACACAATGTACGTTTTTATTCTTTACTTTGCAGGAGGTGTAAGGGCAGAGCAGGCAAAGGACAAGTAGGGTGTTAGTGGGGTACAGCCCTGCATTTTTTAAGGGCAGTGGCCCTTGCACTGCAGGAGGAAGTGCAGAGTCATTTCAGCGCCCTAGAGAATAAGGGCAGTAATTTTGCCCTTTTTACTCTTTGTTGCACTTCTTGGTCTCTGCACGGTGAACAGGTATGTGAAACTTGTGCATGTTCGAGTGGAGTGCTGTGTCTACGTGTTCCTGACGCTTTGGTGAAAACTTTACATAGAAGTTGACTTTTCGAGTTTGTAAACATCTGTGCTAGTTGTACCATACTGTCATGCAGACAGAGAAAGTGTTGTGGACAGACGAAAATAAAGCAGCAGTCGAGTTATGAAAGAGCATTTTGCCCTTAGCAGAACCAACACGGAAAGCATCGACGATGTTCAGAAATACACGGCTACAAAACTTACTGCCTGCTTTCCGTTGTAGGAACGTCCTATTTTCTAAGAGCGCGGTAACTCCACGCTGAAGGGCCCGAAACGTTTCCCTGGGCTGTCGGATCTGCCCGCTTAATTCCTTTCACTTTTGTTTACGCGCTGAATAAACACTGCTCTGTGGCAGCAGACCTGAGCCGTCAGATGGAATCGGGGGGCCGCCGCAGCGTCTCGCGCAGCAGCTTCAGTCACCGCCGGTGAGGACAAAGCGCTTTTTTTTTTTTCCGCCGGGGGCCTTTTGCCGGGCCGCGGAGGGGCGGCCGCGTCGTCCCTTCCCCGCCCCGGCCTCTGCGGAACGTCCGACGGAGGACGGGTTCGGTCCGCCGACCCGAGCCGCCGCTCCGCGCCGCAGGCGCGCGGTGACCGGCCGGAGGGGAGCGCGGGGCTCCGCGGCTGCGCTCCGTTCTTCGCCGTCGGGCTGCCCCGGCCCCGCGGGTCGCGCCGCGCTCTGCGTACGAGTTGGCAGCGGCCGCCGCGGGCGGAGGCTGGAGGGAAAGAGCGCTGAAACAATTGAGATGGCAAAGAAAAACATTTGGAGACGAGGCTCTTGAAGCGAAACTTCCTGCTGGCTCCGAGATCGAGCCGTCGGGCGAGAGAGGGCGTGGGGAGGGCGGTGCGGGACGGTCCCGGGCTCCCCCGGCGCCGAGGACCGGGGTCGGTGCTTCCAGCCTCCGGGAGCTCCCAGGGCGGTGGGACCCGGACTGCAGCTTTCCGACAGGCGAACGCCCCCCTGTAACAGCTCCCAGAAAGGAGAGGTCCCAGAGTGAGCACAGGGGCAAATACAAATTACGGGCAGGAGAATCGGGTCTGCGGGTCTCCTCGCGTGAGCTCGCTTGCAGAGCAGGCGCCTGCCTTTGTCTTTCACAGGACTTTCCTTCATCTGAGTCGTACCACCGAATGCCAAGCGCAACTCAGGGCAGGAATCGGAAGTTACTCGTTTCAACGAATGAAAGCTTCCCTCCCTTACACGCCAACAAATGCTTTTCAGAGAAAAGCTACATTTGCTGCCTTGGGATGACATCCCTTCTCTTTCCAACGTTGAAGGCCGTGCTTTGGCAAGCAGCATGCACGGTGTGATCCTTAGTCCCATCTTCTCACACGTACCATACTCTGAGCACAACAGAACTCTTGAAGTGTGCTTGCTTTTGCTTGACATTTAGTCAGGGATTTCTAAGTTGCTAATTTTTTACAGATTTTATATTTTTTTTTTTTTTTTTTTTTTCCCCTGGAGCTCAACTGCAGATGTTCAGGGGGCTTTGCCTCAAGTAGTGCTTAGCTTGGTAGAAAACAGGAATCAGGTAACAGTGTTACCTCTGAGGCTGAGCAAGGCTCTCAGACTTTGTGTTGGGACTTTCTGGTGAGGTGTCGCTACAAGGAACTCCTCCTTGCCGTGTGAATTAAAGGACAGATTCACTTCTTTTCACAATGTAGGCTTTCATAATTGTCCCCGGCTAGTTTCTTACTTTGTAGACTGATAAAGTGCTCACTGTATGCGAATTAAAATGAAAACGGCTGTCAAAAGAAGCACATTTGGGCATCCCTAGCTGGAGGTGTTCTGTTTACTGAATTGTCAAGCTGGGAAGGAAGCTCATGGAAAAGGTGATTAATTTGTACCAGATCTGAAAACCACAGAGGATCTCCAGATCCCAGTTTCCTACCCACAGGTTACAGTTGCCAGAATATTTGCAAATATGTATGAACAAGAAATCAAGGCTCACACAAGATTTATAATTTTGTGACCAGTATGTACAAAGTGCTACTGCAATGCTCTGAAATAAATTTATTTTGAAAGTGCAGCTGCAGGTGTTCAGTTGGTGTCATAAGCAGAAATAAGGGACCTCATTGCTCTTTTATCTAACCCTTGACTGACATGGGATAGGGGAAATGGGGGAAATTTTACTTAGTGCCAGTGTGATGTTGCTGTAGAGGAGAATTAAATGTGCAGATAGTGTTTCAGCCCAGACATTTACTTTTGTTGAATTCTGTGCTTGGAATTAGATGGGTACTTCTGTGCAGAGGGCATGGTATGGGAAATGTCAGCTAGGTTTAACACGGTCCTTTTGTCCACCTGCTTGTTTTCTGAGATTGAATATTCGTTTACACAAAAGCACACTGCTCAGTGCCTCGTGCATCTGTGAGCACACTGCAGCTCTGACGTTGAGGGATCTGGATCCAGCCCTATTCGTGATGTGACCAGCAGGACCTCTGGCTATTCTGCTACTGAAAGAAGAGTTTTACAGAGCATAAGTTACAGAAAAAGTTGCAGAACAGATTGATAACTTACAGTGCATTTTACTTTGTATGCATTACCTTAAATTCATTGCTCACATACATGCTGTTGCAGGAGTTGTCCTCGCTGCTCTGCACAGAACCGTCTGCTTTGCAGGGCCCAAGAGCCATCGCGTTCTCACGTTATGCTCTCAATATGCCTTGAGCCCCACAGTGAAAGTTTGACAAAAGATAGCATTTTACTGATAACCTAATAGCCTTTTCATTACTTCCATTTGGGTTATGAGGAGAAGAGAGGGGAAGAGGGAATCACTGGAGATCTCAAAGGCAACTGTTTCAATCACTGCCAATAAACATTCAAAAATGAGTCAGTTCTGGCTGGTTACCTAGACAAGACTGTAACACAATGCAGCACTTCACTGTCTCATGTTTTGCTGTTCTTTAATACCATCTGAATGTTGATGCTTGAGCAAAAGAAGAACTATTTATCTAATTTTTGAGGAGAGAGGAAATTATGGGATGAAAGAAAACTTAGAATTGGTGGAGCGCTGACGTGCAGTTAGGGTTATACAGCTTGAATATTGCTGCCATGCTGCTGCCGTGTTGCGCACACTCAGATACTTAGATTATCAGCAGATGGCCCCTGATAGCATTCAGTGGCAAGGTTACAAAATGGAAAACTCGGTGGGTCTGTGCTCAGCACACCATGCCAGAGGAACGTGGAACTGTGGACTTCGTATTGTCCTGCTCCTAACTGCTGGAGGGTCCCAGAATGTAGAGCCCAGCCAGGGCTGAAGTTCACGGTCAAGTGGAAAGACGAGTGCGTGAAAGCTGATCTGCCCTGCGCGGCTCACGCCAGCCATGCTCTTGCCAAGGTCTATTTGCTTTTGCCTCCCACGTGGCTGTGAGCAGAGAGGGGAGATGTGGATCCTTTCTGTTCTATTTTACTGTTTATGCTCTGCAGTGATTTTTGCTATGTATCCACTCCTGCTTTGCACTGTTATTTTGGGAGCCTGGGTTTCCTGGTAAGACAAGATCATGGTTCAGAAGTAGAAATTACATTTACCCTGTCTTTGCTGCATCCCATCTGGTGTATCTGCAGTTCACGCTGGGACTTGGGGGATTTTCATGAAGGTGACTGATCATACCCCAAATCATGTTTTCACGTAGGAACAGGCCAGGGCATATGGTGCTCCTTTATGTCTCCGTGGCAATGTAAATTGTGGTATGTAGGATCCCATGGCAAGCATCTCAGCTCAATCTCTGCAGAGGCACAAAAGGAGAACATACGGATTCTATTCAGTGCTAGAAGTTACAAAGGTGTTGTTTGGCTATGGTAGCTATAAGTAGATGTTTTGTACAAGAAGAATGGTGTTTGACCAGGCGTCTCTTATACTGAGAGATGAACAAAGGTGAAATAATGAAGGACTCCTTCCCATGATAAATGAATAATGAAGTAGGTTTAGAATGACTGGTGCAGCAGATACATGAAATGATTGAACGTGTCGTGCCTCCTAACCACAAATACATCTCCTAGAACAGCTGGAGGCACCAGTTAGGACTCATCCTTCCAGCAAGATGCGACTGGTCCAGTCCATAGCAACACTTCTTGAGTGGATATAGCTCACTGGTATGCTTGCCAAGATGACAAACAAGGTACTGTGCTCTCTGCCTGCTGTCCTGCATATCGTTAGGAGCTCTCCCTGCAGTGCTTCTTGATTTATGCCATCATTGGCCATCTGAAGTGTGGAGGTTAATTTTGGCTGCTTCTCTCGTGCATCCCTGTGTAGCGGCCTTTGCTGTTTGGTGCTCAGCTATCAGACTGGCTGAAGATCAGTGGCTACGTGGCAGGTTGCCTTTCTCAGGTTTCCTCCCTTGCATGTGCACTGCATGCAGCTGCAGGCTCAGCTCTCGTTAGGCTGCAGGAGCAGCCCTGCTGCGTGGGTTCATGTGTGCTTGCTCAGGGTGACAGGCTTATCATGCTGGGGAAGAAGCTGGGCGCCACTCAGGAAAAGGCCAGGTGAGAGGAGAGACACATGAACCACACCTGGTGGTGCGAAGGCACCCGGACCATCCAGCAGACCCTCTGCTCCACACTACGTTTCCCTTCTGCTTTGTAGCAGAGGCATGGCTTCTAGGCCAGGACTCGCACTGTGACTGGCAGCAGACATGTGGACGTGTGTAGGCAGTTACACCGCCCTGGATACGAGCGCAGGTGGGGCTAATCTCAAGTCTAACAAAGATTTGGAGCCTCCAACTTCTAGCTGTTGTGCACACATTTAATTTATCTCCGCTGGATTTTGTAGGGACTCTGCTCTGCATCTTTCTCAGCTCATGGCAGAGAAAATGTCTTATCTGGATGTAGCAATTTTATCTGGATGTGGTTTTTTATCTGGATGTAGCAATTCGTGATTAGGATTTGAAGAGAGGACTTACAACAGCTTGGCTGAGTTTTACATACTTATTTTACACTGTCGGCAAAAAAGATCAAAGTGGGATGAGCAGCTATGATTTGCTGTCACTAATTATCTGATTAAAACCTCAAACACAATAACTTTTTTATTTGAGTTCAAAAACATGTATTTAGAAAGAGGTGTGTAGAAGAAACATAATTTATTCTCAGGATCATCCTTAAAAACAACATTCCATATATTCCTGGATCCTGCTTTTTCTGTAGTTGGGGTCACTGGAGGTGTTCTGCTCAGTGAATCTAGCACTGCCTTTCTAGTGCTTCTTTCCTGCTGCCTTTCAGAATTTGTAGAGATGTATTTTTTACTGAAAGTGACAACTAGAACAAAGGAAGTATGTTTTCAGTGATCTGACTTGGCAAACAGACTGTTTTTAACCCTTGTGTTTAAGTACCACCTGTGTTATGGTGATAAGAACAGTTAAGGAAGAACAGCTGCTCTGCAAGTGTACCTTCATGATTTTGCTGACCACAAAATCTCTCATTTTGCCACGGGGAATGTAGCAGGCAATTCCTTCCACATCACTTGCTGAGAACCACTATATATTGGCAACAGCAAATTAATCCTTTTAAAGATCAGTTGAGATAGATGCTCTCACAAAGTGCATTAGTCTTCAGGTAGGTTCAAGTAAGGATGTGCAAGGAAACTCCATTTGCCTTGGCCCAATAGAGGGGTGAGCTTTTATAATTTCCGTGATCGTCTGAAGCACAGAATTCCTGCACTGAGAGACGGTGGGCCATACTGGTGCAAGATTTGTCTGTCTGCAAATCGCCTTCTGTTCTTTTAGAAGAGACGTGATATTCAGGCGGAAGCACAAGCTAATGGTTGTAAAGCAAAATGCTTCAAAGATGACCAAGAAGGAAGAAGAAAACAGAATTAGTCCAGCTTAGTGAACAGAAGTCGTGCTTTAAATATGTGCTGGCTTACATACGTGTGTGCTTCCTTCCATTTAAATTCCCACGTCAAAACAGATTCTTTAGGGAAGCGCTGGAAGAGCAGTGTATCCAGTTAAGGGGTGTAATATCTTCCTCTGCAAAAGGGCACTGGAGGAAGAGGTTATTTTAAGATTATATGCATACAGGTTGCAGTGCTAACAAACATTCCTATGGATAGATTGTGTAAACACTCATGTATTTAAAGGCAGGCTTCATGTCAGCTTTTCATGGTACATCCAGAGCTCTGCCTTGCAATCTGTAACCATGGATCCCATCAGCGGTGCCTTTGCTGCTCATGTAGAAGTTCAACTATCCGCAGTGTGCATCTGAAAGATGTAATTTAGGCCCAGGTTGGCCCTGCATGAGGTTTATCCTGCTCTGGGTAAAGACAATGGATCTATCGACTTAAATGGGGACGAGCCCGGGCCCACTGCCTTTGGCATAGGACATTGTCTAGGCTAGCAGGTCTCTGTGTAAATAGCTTGCAGAACCTTTGATGGCTGCTTCTGACGCTCAGCCACTTGCCTCACATGTAGGCAAGTTATTCGGCGACGGGAGGTTTGGCGCAGTATCCAGTTCCAGAGTTCCGAATGGAAAACACGCTCTCATGCCTGAGGCGCGCTGCAGCCGGCTGTGCAGAGCTCCGCACCGCGCTGCCCTGCCTGCTGCTGGGGGCTCTGTGCAGGAGCTGCTGGGGGCTCTGTGGGGCGGCAGCCCCTCCTGCAGCGCTGCCCAGCTGGGCGCCCGCAGAGCCCTGTGGCCACGGCGAGCCAAAGCCGGCTGCTGCCAGGGAACGCTGCGCCACAGATCTTCACTTCTGCAGTTTTTACAGGGGTGTAAAGCGCTGCTCTGCAGGAAAACGGTGCCTGTTTTACTTGGCGAGGCCAAGCTCGGGCTCGAGGACATTTTGAGGCTCTTTGACTCGCTCTGTACGGAGCAGACCGGTTTGGAGTTCAACTACACCTCCCGAATTGGAGTCATGGCGATTCAATTGACTGCGTTGTCAGATTGTTTATATTCCTCTTAGTATTAAATCTTTCATTCCTAAGAAAGGCCACCTTAGACAAATGGTTTATTTCACATAATGGGTTATTTACATTTTTGGATGCAAAAACTAGTTACGTATTTGGTGATGACAAGTGTGGATGTTCTGTGTTTAAAAACCAAAATTGCAGCGTTGTTCGTGTAACAAACCTCCTGTTCCACACTCTGTCAAAGTGCCCGCCGCCTTCAGCCTGAATAATGACTGCAAGATTTGGTCTTCTCTCTGAGGATTTTCAGTTTCTCATGGAAGTATGCTTGTACACAGATGAAATACATATGTTTGTTTGAAAATGAATGGCTACACTGATATTTTAGATATGCTGAGTGAAACGGTATAATCCATAAATACGGGCAAACACTTCATGGTGCAGCAGTGCTTGCATTGTGTTTTTCATTCTGTAGTGAAGTTTATGACTTTGGCCTTTCATTCCAAAACAGACTTTTTTTTCTCCTACTTTTCCCATGAGCACAAATTCTTAAAAAAAGAAAGAAAAGGATCGAGCAGTCTGATTAACAAAACTAAAACTCTTCACTGAAAAGTTTCTCTTTTTTTGACAGTTTTATTTTGCAGTTTATTTTACAGTCTATTGAGCAACATTAGTTTCAAAAACTGAAAAAAGTATTTCCAAAGAGGCAGAAATAGAATGCTTTGTTTTAGCTGAAATGATTAATCACCATCTTTACTTTAAAACTAAAGTTTTTTCCAGGGTGTTGTGTGCTTGACAGGCTGTGTGCCGTGAGGCATGGTTGTCCATCAGAACATTTCCAACTGACACCGGCATGAAGTCGCAACAGTTTTTGTTTTGAGATAAAGCCCAGTTTGTCTAATCAATTGATTTCTGCTTGGGGTTCAAGCTCCATGCACGAGTCTCCCTGAACATGGGTGGGATCCAGCCCTGCTGTGGGGGATGGGGGGGGATGGCTTTGCTTAAGCAGGAGAGGAGCTGAGGCCAAGTGCTGTCCCCGTTGAGGGGGAGGTCAGGTCAGAGCTGTGGGCAGTTCTATCGGCTGTCCAAGTGGAGAAAACACACCAAATTGTATCTTAAATATTCAGGTTAACCTCTGCAGGAGGACTAGCAGGTTTAACACCAACCATACCAGATTTATGTGCATTCAGCTGTCGTACCGCTGACGTACAATAGAAGAGATCAGACTGCATTTCTTCTGAAACCAAGGCCGTTTCTCTATGGAGGTGCATAGGCAAAGCTCTGCTGCTGTGCCAATGGCACAGCCCTGCTCACAGTGCCACCTCCTGCCCATGCCATGGGAGATGTGCTGCAGGCCTGCAGGCGCAGGAAGGGTGGGAGAGCTGGGTGTTAAATCTATGCACGCTTCAGGTGCCCTGCATGAATAGCTGCTTATTTTTGGCAGACGATGCACCCTCTGGTGGGAGCCTGCTGGGGACTATTCCACCCCTGCACACAGAGCGCTTGGAAAGCCTCCGAATCAAAGCAGTACTGGTCTTGATGCAAAGCCAATGGAAATATCTACATTACATTTAATGGCCTCTGGAGCAAGCACTTACGGAAATGTGATGTCTTACTGGGCTGCTTGCTACAACCACACCGATGAAGGTGAGTTGTTCAAATGCCTCCAAAATACTGAAAGTATCAGCTTTAAACTTGATGTGCCAGCTTCTTTTCCTTTTTTTTTTTTTTTTTTTTTTTTAATTTTTTTAATTTTCTCTTTGGAAGGACAGATCATTTTAGTCTGAAAAGTGAGAAGTTTGACTTTAGGAACTAAAATGTATAAAAAAGGGAACCCCTGATAGCTTTCGGTCTGTGCCACAACAGATGCTCCCCCATTCAGACAGCTCAGGCTGTGGTCCTCCTTCCTGCAGAAAGAGAGCCCCTCATGATGTTCCCCTCAGACCTTAATGAGTTTAGTCTGCATTACTTCCTCTTCTGGTGACATTATCAGAAGAAATTACTGTGTACCATTACCTTTCGGCAATGAAGGCTGACAGGGCCTCCCTCCTCTCTCCTCTACCAAGCTAAGTGCACTTCCCCAAGACAGGAAGGTATTGTCTAGCTTTGACCCTTTGAAGTTCCCCTCACCTCCACCTACAGCTTGCTGCAATTTCAGTCTGTGCTCCCCTGTCCTGTGTGCTCAGAGGTGGTGGATGCCCCTGTGACTGTTACAGCGGTGATACCCAGGACAGAGGATGCTGCGCAGGGCTCCCCGTCACCCCTCCTGTCCAGTCCTGTTGGCTGGGCCTGCTGAGGAGGGGCATGAATCTGCAAGCTGAGAAGGCTGAGGGGGTGTAGTGTAATTATCTCTCAGGTGACTTCAAAACTGCTGGAAGAAAGAAAAACGCGCCCAGAAAAAAATGGCCTCTCCAGTGGTGAGAAGCGAACACCTCACCAAAGTTCAGCATTCATGGTTATTTCCACTGGTTTCTTGCTCAGCAGCAACCCGTTTGAATGGGCCTGGTGCTTGTCCTGGTGTTTGTCCTGTTACCAGGTTGCTCTTGATGGCCCTGGGCTGAGCCAATGGAGATGCACAGACTGTGGCAGGTTTGTGACACTGAACCCAGGGTTCTGGCCTATTTGAGGAGAAAAAAAAAAAAAAAATCATAAAGCAGTCAAGTTTAATTATTCTTGGAATAACTGCATGTGATCTCCTTAAGTATTTTTTACAGCAGACAAAGCAGTGCTGTCTGGCTGCACAACACTCCGGGCTGTGGTGGGCATGCAGCACAAAGCCAGCCTTCCTGCTCCCCATTGGTGCACTGCAGCAACAGAATTGGTGTGGAGATGTGGGAATGTGCTGCCTGCAGGGTGCAGCTTGGTGATCCCAGCACCGCTCACTCCCATTGCACCTCAGAGACAAGCATGACTGAATGTGTGCTAGCTTAGTTGGTGGTGACAAATTCTCATAACCATACCCTATGAATGCCAAATTAAGTCCTTGGTGAATGAGGGCTGCATTCGGAGGCAGCTAATTGTGTCTGTCCTGTGCTGTATATTCCATGTTTGTATACATGACTGTTCAATATCTTACAAATTTTCTCACGAAATCAAACAACACCCCTCTTAAGGGAGTGGTTTCCCAGCAGTTATGAAAAACAAGATGTTTTTCATCTGGAATACACAGAACTACAGCCAAACAACACTTTGTTACAGAGTCTTTTCCCCTTGATTTTACTTTTAAGCATTCATTGCGTGGCTGTATCATTCATCTTGAGCATTTCTGAGGAGTGTGTCCCAGGAGGGTTTTCTCTCCTTAGGACTCTGCTGGCCTCACTTTATGTCTTTTGGCTGTGTCTGCAGCCAGGCATTGTTTAGCCTGCATTATGTGAGTCAGAATGGTTTCAGTTTACATACACTTTATCATTCTGTATCTCCAATAAAATCACTATACCCAGATACTTAGACCTCTATACAGTTAGATAAAGAGCTGTAACTGTATGCATGAACTCCAAGGGCACTATAAATGCCTATAAATATCTATCTAGGAAAAACGAGGAGGCCTTGTTGCAAAAAGGAGTATCTCAATTCCTGTCTGGTAACTTTGAGTAACAAATGCACTGTTCTGTGGCATCAGCACTGGGACGGTGAAAAAAGGCTCGGGAAAATGTTCCCATTTCAGAGCCTCTTGGCTTCAGTGCTGACTTCGTGGGTGCTCAGGAGAAGAATCTTCTCTCCTGACCGTGACTTCTTTGCTTCTTTCTTTCACCTCGTAGGGGAAATTCACTCTTCAGAGAAGGAGCCGATGCAGTTGTTAGCAGCAGTTAGTTCTGGTATTGCTTTCTTCCCTTTCTTCTGTCGCCCAAGATGCTGCATTGCAGGCAAATTCTGTGGCAGTGCTTGAAAGCAGCACCCCCTCCGAGTGCCACGGACGGGAGCTAACGTGGCACGGTCCTGTGTCAGCATGGAGCAGCTGGACCACCGCTTCTCAGGGGGCGCTTCTGGCTGCGGCTGCTGTTTGCCAGGGGGAACAAAGGACCTTTCCTGCTCCCAGGTGTGACTGCAAGTCTCAGACCCTGAGTGAGGTGTTGCTGTGGATTTGCATTCCCATCACTCTTCCTAAAACTATAGCTTATATAAAATTTCATTAACCCAGTTACTTGGTTCAGAACTTGGAGAATTAGTATACTTTCCTGTAACTGAAGATTTCATATAAAGCTTGATCTTGGTGTAATTCTCAGTCTCTTTTGTAATTTTATTAGGCCTCAAAGTTTTCTGTGGCCGGGGGAAATACTCTATGTAAAGCTCAGAGCTTCATCTGGTAGTGATTTGTCATTTACCATGTTTTGGGCTTGCTGCCAGGTCAGCTGTCACCAAATGAAAGGAAGACCAAGGAATAAAATGATTATCAGGAAAAGGCTTAGAAAGGTTGCAAATGAAATAAACGAAGAATAGCTTAAAACTGAGAGGAGGATATGTATAATCAATCACAGAAATCACAGGGCAGGCAGCAAGGGGGCTCGGGTTTCCCCTCGACTGGAGTCCTTTTCACACTCAAGGCCCTTTATTGTTATCCTTCAAAGATGTGTGATCGAGTGGACCACCAAGACAAAAATCCTAGTGAACCTGTAAAACCATGATTACCTCCACTTTGTGTCTCTTTATATGCAGTATCCGTTATTAGTGATATGGTGTCTGTTACGATTATGTGTTCTGCAGTGAGAGGGGAGGCTGAGATGCAGGCAAGGAGAGAACAAAGGGCTGCCCCAGCAGTGCTGCACAGGGCAGGGATCAGAGAGGGATGTCCTGAGGTGCACCTCTCACACCTGGAACCGCTGAGAGAAGGTCCTGGGAGTTAATGGGAGTTTTGGTTTGAAGGAGTAATCAAGACAGAAGAAAAAAATTGTAATTCGTGCATCAACTTTCAGCGGTTTTATTTGGTTTACGTAAGGGGTTGTTTATTTATGTTTTGACTACTGGGTTTTGGATTAAATGCACACTTAGACAGGGATTGCGAGTTGGTGTTGTGGAAAAACAATAGGCCAAGAAGAAAAGGATGGTTCAACAGATACTTTATGCACACATTAGCCTCTCCTCAAGCCTGCGAACCTTTCTGGGGACAGTTCTGCAGCTCTGTCAGCAGCCAGCTGTGAAGGGAATTTCCCACAGCTTTTGATGTGTTCTTAGTTTAGTCGTTTTTGTTCTCAGCTATGTGAGGTCAGTCAGTAAAATTGAATAGCTGCAGAGGCAGACGGATGGCTGGCAGAGGTCTCACCATGCCGCTGTATGGCTGTGCTGTGCCCTGCTGCAGGGCTGCTCTGGCGTAGCGCAGTGCGCTGCCCTGCCTGCTCGGATCGCTGCACACTGTGTGAGCGCCCCTGTGCAGATGGCTGTGTTGAGCCCTGGGTCAGGAAGGCATGAACCCATCCTTCCATTTCTTGGTGGGGTTGCACTGAGAGAACGGGCATGCTGGTGCAGAAGCAGTTTCTTTTATTCACCCTTGCGCAGAGGTCAGAGGTGAGCGATGAAGTCTGGGCCCTCCGTAAGAGCAGGAGCACTGTAATCCTCCTGCACGTACCTGATGTGCAGGTGTAAGCTTCTCTACATGCGTGTCACCTCTTGATACAACAGCGTTGTACGAAGAAGCAGTAATTCCACAGGATGAGAGACCACTTGCTGTCCAGTTAATGTATACTATCACTGCTATGGAAGAAGGGCTCAGCTGTCTCCTGGGCTTCTCCCAGTGTTGATGCTGTCCTTGGAAAAGCCAGTAGGGAAACGCCGTTCTGCCTTCTCCCAGCCCCAGAGGAGTTGCCTGAAGAAGATGATTGTTTGTGAGATTGGTATCCTGGGGCACCAGGGAGGAAAGGAGGGAAGGCTGAATGAATTTTTCAGCGACTTTCATTTAATCTCTCTGCGAAGGAGGATGAGCAGTGATGTTCCCATGCTGGTGGGACTGCAGCTCCTGAAGCCCTATTCACATGAGCAGTAACAGCAAGCATGGGTATTTGTTGGGCCAGAGAGGAGCAACACTGGAGGCAGCATTCTATCACTGTAAGTCAGGTGCACCCCCTGGGCTGGCGAGTGAGCCTGGCTGGGCTCCTTCATAGTAGCACAGAGCCTGCAGAGCTGCATGGCCTTGGCACTGAGCTGGGGAGGAGCAGACTGAACTCTGATGCGATGTGTGAGGAGGCTGGGGTTCTGACCTGTGATCAGTGGGAAGAATAGAAATTTTCTTTTACTTGCATTGTTGAAAAAACTTCAGTCAGTGTATGCAGACAAGCTGACTTTCCCTTGCTACTTAGTTGATGTCCATCTAATAATGTAATGATGTCCTTAGCTTTTCTGTTATGGTGCTTTTTCTCCCCGTTTTTTTTTTTTTTTAATTATTTTTTATTTTTTCCCCTCAAATCCACTTGCTCTTCCTTATTTGCAGTCCTTATTGTTGTTATCCTCCTCTGGTTACTAGTGCTACTTTCCTTTCCTGCATTCCCTTCCAAATCCACTGGTGCTCTTCCTGCCTTTAATTTTTCCCCCGCTTTGAGATGCATATTGCCTTAGCTACCTTCCCCGCTGTGCCAAATTGGTCCTTGAGGAAGGCAGTGCCTTTCCTCATCACATAACATGCTGATTTTCCCTTGCAGAAAGCAGTGGCTGCTGTCAAGGGAGGACTGGCCTTGAAGATATGTGACTTGATATCTGTGATGGTTGTAGTCTTCCAGTACACAGTGAGTGAAATTTTCTTGTCTTGTCCTGTTCTGTGGTCTTTTTTTCCCCTCTTACTTTCTTTCTCAAAGGTGCACTGGTACACACAGAATAAGGAGCTTAAATTGAGCTGGTAGCAGTTTCCTTGTGATATCAGAACACTGCAATACAGCTCTGTTTTACTCAGGAGAGTAGAATGCTGCTGCTTTAGTGTCAGATGCACTCTATTGCGCCACTTGTTCTCTCCACCCAAAGACTTCATTGGTGCTGAATACTTGAATATGGTGGTGAGCAAATGAGTCTGTACCTTTTTAAAATAGTTATAGAAACTTAAATAGTGAGCCAAATGGAGGACTATGATCAGGGAAACGTGTTCGGTTTTTTTCCAGACCTTTAGACTGACTTCCTTAGTAGTAATGAATACAGTGTTACATACAAACCTAACTTAGGAAATGCTAATTTGAACTGAATCTTGTGGGTACAGCATGTGCTAGAAGAAATATCGGTGTATTGTTCTTCAACTTTTAGTTAGTGAAGGTCAGGATCCACTTAGAAATAGAAGGAAAGGCTGCTGAGATAATTCAGAAATCCTGAGAAAGACTGCTGGAAAACACAGCAGTGATGACTTAGAAATGGATTTGTGTTCAGAATCACAGAATGGCCTGGGTTGGAAGGGACCTCAAAGATGATGAAGCTCCAACCCCCCCGCAGGCAGGGCCACCAACCTCCACATTTCACAGCAGCCCAGGCTGCCCAGGGCCCCATCCAACCTGGCCTTGAACACCTCCAGGGATGGACAGGGCATCACAGCCTCTCTGGGCAGCTGTTCCAGCACCTCACTGCTCTCACAGCAAAGAAATTCTGCATCTGTAGAGCAGTGACATATTTACTTTTTTATATTTGGGAAATGTGGAACTCTATGTCATGCTTTCCTAACTGTGAAAATATCTACGGCCATCACACTGACAACACAATAATTCAGCAGATCTGCAGAGGTCAGCCTTTGAAATGTGTTTTAGTGTGTCTCTGTGCATCATTTGAGTCTGTGTAAGAAGCAAATAAATTAGTGTGGTGCAATTCAGCCTGTTCCACACTGCAGTGTGTCATGTTGAAGAATCAGTGGGAAAAGTTGCCAGAAAAAGAAGATGTGTAGCGTTCTGATCCCAAGCTGCCAGCTGCTCCTTGCTGAGAGCCTGCAGTGTTCTTGGATTCACACCCACAGCTTCACTCAAATACATCGGTTAGCAGCTAATACAGTTAATAATGAGAAGGTGCATTTACCTCTTTATTGCTGTTGTTACTGACATTCTGAATAAATGTAGGCTACAGGGGTTCATATGGCAGCTTTGTTGGAAACAAGCGAAGGTAAATGCTGTGGGGGTTGGCAGACTTCATCTGCTGCCATCCTTGGAGACGCTGAAACCTGATCTATTGTCAGAGTTCCCTCACTTTGAGCAGGGGTTGCCAGATTGCCTTCCACGGTTTCTTCCAACCAAAATTATTTTATGATTCATGATAACAGCATTTTAGAAAAAAAAAAAGAAAAAGTTTGGCTTATTCATTTATCCTCTGCTACTGCTGCTTTTCTGTGAGAATGTCCCATTTTGAGAAACGGCTTCACAAGATTTCTGATTTTTTACTGATACATTTATGAGCAATTTGTGCTCCCTTTGTACAGGTGATTAATTGGTCAAAATCCATGTGTTATACAAACAAACAAACAAACAAATAAACATTTTCCTTGATTTTCTTAATCTAAGCTGCAGGATTTATCTAACACTTCTGTCTTCTTACAAACAATATGAATGCTGTTTCTAAGCTTTCCTTGGTAGAATAATAACAGTATCCTTTGAAAACAGGAAAAGTGAAAAGAAAATATTTACAATCCTAAATAAAATATCTATCCAGGCAGGCAACAGCTCTGACAAAGACAGGGGATGTCCTGAGGCCGACAGAAGTCAGTGTAGTCATGTGGGCAGTAAGAATGGCAGGGAAGGGTAAGAACTGTCACTTTGTCTCTGAATTGAAAGAATTTATCACAACATTTTTCACTGCACTGTAAGTAGCTAACAGACTAAGTGCAAATTAAATATGCTTCCAGGAAGACTTTCTCAGCTCATTACAGTCTTTTTTTTTTTTTTTTTCCAAGCTTACAGATGACCTTACCACTATTTCCACAGAATCATAGCTAGGATTGCAGAATACCTGTGGCTGACTGGGACCTCTGCCAGATATTGCCCAGCATGACCCTCCTGCTCAGGCAGGGGCAGAGAGAACAGGCTGCCCAGGACCGTGTCCAGTTGAGTTGTATCTCCACAGATGGAGACTTCACAAGCTCTCTGGGTAACCTCTGTCAGTGTTCAACCACCCTCACAGCGAAAAATTGTTTCCTTATGTTCAGAAGGAGCCTCCCGTGTTTCAGTTTGTGCCTATTGCCTCTTGTGCTGTATTCATACACACAGTAAGCCTGTCCTGAACATTTCCTCCCTGAGACAGAAGAGCCCCATATCTCAAACTCTGCTTATTGCCCAGCCCAGGAAAGCAGCTCCCCAGGGCAGAAAGATGCAACAAGCTTGTTCCTGCAAGATTTCCATCTTATCTCAGACTTGTAGACTTGATGAAACTCTGTGAAACACAGAGGAATTTCTCAGAGGGCTCAGTGTCCTCAGGAGCCACACTTGCTGCCTGCAGCCCTCCTGGCACGCTGTCCTTGTCTGGGCACAGCCCCGGCACGAGCCAGCAGCTCAGTGGGTCTCCTCTTGGAGGCTGCTTCTGGACAGTGCTCCCCTCAGCGCTCCTGCCTGAACCAGCTTCTCCACTGCTGCCAGACAGGAGAAGCTCAGCTCAGCCCGGTTCAGCTGCTTTGGGCATATTTGGGACACGTCAGGTCAGAATGTTACGCTTTTGATAGGCATGGGTCAACTGTTCCAGGCTGAAAGCAAGGGCGTGCTTCACTTGGTTTTTCAGTGCAGTGAGCAGTGATAGCGGAGGGGTGAGATCGGTCAGAATACGGAGCAACCTGGACACATGGACAGTGTTATTATGTATAAAAACAGTTGAAACTTAAAACTGATTGGAAAAAAAGAAGTGACACAAAAATGAGATTCTTTTTGATGACAGGATCGACTTCCATTAAACCATCCACAGTTGAGAGCTTGCTGCCTTAAAGAGGCAAATGGCAATCTTGATTTAAAACAAACAAATAAATCTCCCCTTTTTCCTGTTTGCTTATGCCACTATTCCCACTATGTAATCTGAGCATAAAGGAAAGCATGCTGCTAAACTTTCTGAAGCCTTCATTTAGCATCTGCATGTAGAACTTTAAAAGAAAAAATACAAACAAGTTGAACGTACATATGGAGACTTGGAAGATTGTATCACAGATAAGGAAAACGCTTAGGATTTTCTTTTTGTATGTGTAATGCCTTTGCAACCTACTCGCAACGTTATTCCCTGCATGAGGGCCCCCTAATTATTTCATCATGCAGCAGGAAATTCTGGTAGGTCATATATAAACAGCCCGAGGCAGGGACCTCTTCATCAGATAGAGCGTGACATCTGACATCTGCGCAGCCTGCCGCTCGCATGCCACAATTAGCCAGGCAGCCCCAACACTAATGCAAGAGCAACTGGGAGCGTGGGGCTAACCGGTGTGGCAAAGGTCTCCCCTAATCCCGACACAAACATAGGAAGTGTCCCTTCCTAGGCCCACGTCCACGCTGAGCTCAGCAGCGGCGCAGTGCTGCCTGCCCACACGCTGTGGGGCCCCGGCCCTCCTTCGCAGCAAGCTCTGCCCACGCGTGAGGAGATGCACACAGCCCTCTGTAAGCTCCGTGCAGAGCCAGCTGTCTGCAGAAGCTGTGCCGCAGCCAGGATGCTGTGCCAAGGCAGCAGAGGAGCAGCGCAGTTACTGTGCCGTGCTTGGAGCATGCCCTGGCACTGGGGCACCGCTGGGGATGGTGTGGCTCCACCAGCTGAGAGGCAGAGATCACGGTGAGAAGCAGCTGGGAGCAGGAGACAGCTGACAAATCAGGTGACTGTGAGGAATCAGGGCTCTGTGTCACACACGATCCACAATTGCTTATTTTTTCTTTTAACCGTACTTATTTTTTTAGTTCCTCTGTTAAAAAAAAAAAAAAAAGAAAAAGCAAATTATTTTTCCTAAAATGAGTAATGGTCAGTGGTATTTCCTTGGCACAGAAAAATGGCTCCTAAGAGAAATTGTTGCAAGTAGCATTCCAGGGAGAACTTTGAAGTAAGTGGAAAAGTGCAGGAAAAGCATGTGCCACCATGCTGCCCTCCAGCATTTTTACCTGAAATTCCCTGCTCTTCACCTCCCCTCCCTGTGCAGGCTTGCCCAGGTCCTGCCGTGAGCTCAGGAGGGCTGTTCAGCACTGCTGGCTCTGGCACTTGGTTAGCTCATGTGCCTTTCTTGGATGAAAGAGACCCCGGGAAAAACAAAGGAAAACTCCAATTGAAGGAATGCCTCAGGGAAAGAACAGTTCCATAAGGTGACGTGTTTCTTCCCTCTGGTGTGTATTTCCACAGCCTTCAAACATACCACTCTCTTTCATTCCTATTAATATTGCTGTTGTTGTTCAGACTATTGGTTTGTATTTTCATACACCATGGCTGCATTGAACTAAAACTTTTTTTTCCTGAATGCATTTTTGGTCTTCAACCTTAAGTCCAGTCCTAGCAAAGTCTATGTTTAGCAGTTTTCTGCGGTCTTTCAAAATCTATTTACATAGGAAAATGTTCTTTTTGTTAGTGTGCATTTAAAAACATGATAAATTCTACAAGATTGAAGAAATCGAAGGCAGCCTCTTAGGCTTGCTATAGGACTGCTGGGCACGAGCTCTGCTGAATCTCGCACTAAGAGTCTTCATACAAACAATTCATAATCGGTCTTTTGTCAACTTTCAGTCATTCAGTAATGCTTAGGATTTCCTGAAAAGTCAACTTTTTTCTCCCCCCAGGGTAGGTGACCGAATCAGGTTAAGTTTGTTTGCTGCAATCAGCCATTTTACAGTCAAAGTGTATTGCCACTGAAACACCTATTTTCCTCTGCTCTTCCCCAGCATACTGTCTGCATTAGCTGCATTTATAACCAGCCAGTTCCTCGTTAACTTTTTTCCCAAGCTACCATTCCCTTATTCCATCACGACAAATTTGACTGTGAACTTTTACTTAGACAAGTGTAGCACAGAGTATTTTTTTCTGCAATTTGTGGAAGTTTAAAATCTAATATCTGTGATGGATTTTCTGTAAGCTTTCTGCTTACAGCTTAAATAATTGTGTTCTTATCCTGTCTGCATTCCTGACCTTGGTGGTATTCCTCAACATCTCTTTTTCTGTACGTTTAATAAAGGGAAATATTCAACCTTAAAACTTTCAGATTTGCCTGTCAGTGAAAAAATAAAAAACCTACAACCTCTTTTACACAGCTTTTAAGGGGAAGTTCCCATTTACTTGTAGCTTTCTCTGCTGTATTTGCAGCCTAAGACCAGGATGTTCAGCTGGAAGCGATGTCATTTTCATTTTTCTTTAATCCATAAGCAAGAACAGTGTCCTATGAATGTAAGGCTAACATTACCAACAGCAAATGATGGTGCACTGCCAAACTTCAAAGCATTCAGTTTATTGTCATCTTATTACAGAATAGATAACAGATCATTTCCCCCCTTCAATAAACATTGAAGCAGTAGTTGTCACAGGGGTGGGTTAGGAGGGAATCCTCTCAATCCATTTTTTAATTCACTTTTCTGTGCAAAAGGGAGCCAGCACGCTGGTCACAAACTGGTTTCCCCAGCAAGAATTATCTAATGGAAATTAATGGCGTTCAATTTGCTGTAAATGGAACAGTCCTGTAACTCTGGCAGTGAGTTGTCACTTCGTGTGCTTTGAAAAATGTTCACAAACATTTTCATTATATTTAGAAGATACACCAGAGTCATTGTTACGATTCTTTCTGTCTTGCACTGTTCTGCCTCTGACAGCTCCTGGCAGGTAACTGGGGAAGCTCTGCAAGAACTGCCCCTAGGCCTTGTGGCAATCGTTGTGGAGCCATGTCAGACGATTCCTTGACAGGAAGTGCAAAGTGGCTCCTTCACTGGAAGTGGGTCTTGATTTGCGGGTGTTACCCTTACAGCCCCTCTCACAAACCTGGCTATGATGCAGGTGGGGACACAATTCGAAATCTGCTTTAAAAAGATTGAAACAAGTACAGTTAGCATAAATAAGAACCTCAGCTTAGGCTATGATCGCCGTTTCTGTTGCTTCTCCCTTTCACTGATTGATACACCTCAGACATGGTGCACCATGAAGTATTATCACATGACATGTGTGGGGTAAAATTAACTTCTTTCCAGAGTAATCCAGTGTGCAGTGTTTCTAGAAAAACTACAGTTATTCTGTTAATACTCCTCAAACAGTTTCTCTCTACTTTTCATCCATTTCCAAAATAATTTCCTTCTGTTGCTGGTTTCATTCTATGCTATGAAGCCTTCTGCTGAAGTCTCAGGAGTTCAAGCCATAGACTTTCCCCCAAGGAACTCATGTTCTCCTCAAGTAATTGCCTACTTGTATGCTGATCACTTCCAGAGAGCTCTCCTAGGTCTGCCCCAGAAACCTTAGTCTTGCTAGGAGAGGCTGAGCTGTTACTCTGATTCCAAGCCCTGATCCCCAAACCTTTGCACTGTAAAATCTTGGTGCCTTCCTCTGCAGGCACAAAGATTCCCAGGGGCCTTTTTCACAAGGTTCTTTTGTTGCTGGCCCTGGTCTTCCCTTAGTTTTTAGTACAAAAGCAGAGGTCATGTTTGAGATCTCTAGCCTACCAGAACACAAAACTATGTAAATGGCTTTTATCTGAGGCATGCAGGTAGAAACCTTGGGACTGTATAAGGGCTTTGGGGTTGATTTCTATGTAATGAGTTGGTTTCTTCTTCAGGCTTAATTTTCACATTGAAAACAAAATGTAACTGCCCCATTATAGACATGAGCCAGGCACCCACTCCAAGGAGGCAGGGTACCAGGAGAGGGCTTTGCAGAAGGGGAGCAGGCTAGGGAAACACGGTCCTGACTCAGCAGACCAGGATAGCAGCATTGCTAGATGCTGCTGCAGAGCCAGATACCCTTCCAGGTTGCTTGTTGTCTCCATGTGGTTGGGCAAGATGGCCCTTGGCAGTGCAGATAGCTGCATGCATTGTCCAGGTAGAAAACACGGGGAAGCAGCATTACTGTCAGCACAGGAGAGAGGCCAATACTCAGCCAAATGTGAGCACTAACAGGCCATGACGGCCCTAACCTGCCTTGTTCAGGGCTCACAACCACCCTCCTGCCCATGGGACCAGGAGTCCCACTTAAACTCGGGCCCTGTTCTTCAGTCTTTGCCTGAATGATATTGCAGTGGTGCTTTTCTGCTGGGTAGACCTTCAGGCCGTGCTGCAGGTAGCTTGTTACCTGATCAGATCTCAAATGTAAGCTGAAGCTTATCTCCAATCCTGTCTTTGGCTCTGTCTCCTGGGCAGGCTTGAGCTCACATGGTACGCTTGTTTCCAGTCCTGTCTCTGGGTCCATCTCCTTTTGATCCTGATTGAATTCCCTGGCTGGATGTTGGACCCGATTAATCTCCATGCCTTGTCTGGGGCTGTCAGTAGATGCAGTTACCAGCCCCTGGCTCTCTTCGTGTGCCATGAGGTTGCACCAGTATCACCCTCAGCTCATTTCTGGTATGTGATTGCTGCTCCCTGCAGCCCTGTCCCAGCACAGCTTTTCCTGATGCAGGGGCAGTGAGGGCTGCTGCGGCCAGATCTGAGGACAAAATACAAAGAGAACAAGTAACTATGGGAGACCTGGGCTTGGTGAGGCTGAACATGATGAGCTGTGTACTCTTCTGTACTCCTTGCTCTTATGTGCGGAGGAGAGGCTGAGCAATGTGGAGTTCAAAGCTGCCATCTCAGGAAACAGCGCCAAGAATGACACACCCTGTGGAAAATAACAAAGCCAAAGGCAACGTCTGTCATCTGCAAACAGCTGCAGGTTATGTCTAGGCAGGACTAGGTGTAGGTGCTGAGGAGAGAGCATGACACAGGTGGAGGGGATGAGAGAAGGAGCAGACAAGAAGACCGCTGAGCCGGAGGCGGTTGGTCCTGGTGTGGGCTGCAGGCTGCCACAGGCCTGGCTGTTTTTCCAGGTGCAGGAGGGCAGCTGCAGTGCAGCGCTCACAGCGCTGAGATCTCCTGTTCTGGCTCACAAAAAATGACATTTGTAACAGGTACCCGCTGCTGATTATGAGCTCAGTCCTTTGCATGGGATACATCCAGTGAAAAGGCAGCAGTTTCAGAATGCAACTTTCTGGCATGGAGCAGGACAGAGTCATACTCCTTAAAGTTGCCTCAACCGAAGGCAGAGCCCACAGCTGAAGCAACTTTGCCTGATTGGATGTGGGTCAGCTGGTGATCAGAACTACAGCAGCAGCAGGAGTTGTCCTAGGGAAAAGTCCAGGCATTTTTTCTAAATCCTCATTTCTGATCTGTTTGTAGTGCATAGTAATATGTGTTTGAGCAGGTTTTTGATGTAACTAGTACAGTTACAGAAAGAACTTCATAGGTCCCAGGGGATTTCTATGGCAATAAAACCTTTCCTGAGCTTGGTGCTGTCTTATGCCTCAGTTGGTTGCGTGTTTTCACCAATGCTTCTGTAATTTCTACCTCATTTGAACCTTCAAATACTGCAGGTAAGCTTTTTCTTTTTCTTTTTTTCTAAGCTTCCTCCATCAGTAGGATGCTGTTTGATAAGCTGATTCTATTAAGAGTTTAGGAGGTGGATTTTTATTCCTCTGCCAAAACCAACTAAAATTGGTGAGGGGTTACAAGGTGGTGAAGTGTGAAGTGAGAGATTGTAAAGATATGGATGCATGTAGCTCTGCTTAATGCTTGGTCTGTTTGTTTGTTTTGTGTTTGTTTGTCTGTCCATTCTTCTGTGCAACTTTGCAGAGGGAATGTTTTCCGTTTCCTGTGGGAGATGCTGGAGAGAGATGGGTGATGATACAAAAAAAATGTTTTTCTCTCTATCTGGCGTTTCAGGTCCTGCCAGAAGCTGTTAGAAAAACTGGTCACACGTTTGTGTGTGCTCAGTGGTTCCACTGGGAGGCAATTTCTACACATGGCTGTTTGTGATTGGCACCTGAGACATTTCCCCATAAAACAGAGAAGATTTTTGATGATGTTGAGAAAGCACCGGAGCTCAGGCTAAAGCTGAACAAATAGCAGGCAGTTCTGCGTGAGTGAAATTGCAGACCTGGGGTAGATATGAGCAGAGTATGAGAGAGTGAGCTTGTTGCTGATGTACGGTGTCAGTGAAAGAGACACTAAGGGGCACAATGAAAACTACAGAATGCTGTTGTCTCTGGTCTAGCTGCTGTGAGAACCACTGTGTGAAGCACTCCTTACTCAGTGAAGTGCTTGAGAAGCTGCTGGAGTGTGCTACTGTGTCTGAATTAGTTGTAGTCTTAGTGCTAAGAGAAAGTGCCCAAGAGTGTTGCCACAGCCAGCACGAATGTGTTTGATTGTGCTGCAGTGAGAAGTGTACTTGTGCAGCAGTGGTTCTTGTAACTCTGCTCTTTGTTTTAATTTTTAGGTAGATCATATGTTCTTGAAATTCTGTCATGATGAATGGTTGTTAACTGTTTTAATTCTTAATTATCAATTAAGTTATCAATTTTTCTAGGAAATGCTGGCATAGAAAACTAGTGTGAATTAACTAATAACTTTTTTTTTTTTTTTTTTTTGCTCGTGGTAGGCTCTCTAAACTATTTAGAACTGAAACACTGAATGTAAGAGTCTTCTGGCTTATGAGTTGATTACTTGAGCAGCTGTATTAAACCTGTCAGTCTCTGCAGATGGTTACAGCTATTAGGTATGAAGCATGCTGTTTGCAGAGAACTGGCAGGGGTGGGTGGTGACGGACAGGCATGATACTGGAAAACCTGTCCCTGTGCTCTGAAGCTCTGGTTCCCTCCATACAAACTGGTCCCACCTGGAGAGGCAGAAGGACTTTGCACTCTGAGAAGGGATTTCTTATGCATGAAGAGCTGGTTGTGAACTGCCCAGGAGGTCAGAATCCATGTGCTGTGGTGTGGGTCTGTTTGCATGGGCTACTAGAAGAAAGGAAAAAAAAAGGGAAGAACTATTTTAAACTCAATCCTTTACCAGTTTTGAACCTGATCTATTCATTCAAAAAAGAACGAAATCCTATGTATGCAGTGCTTGTTTCCCTCTTCTGATGTCAGTTCTGGAAGTACCAGCGCCGATGCATCTTTTAGTATGCTGGTCTGAACAAAGGTGACTGTTAGTTTAAAAAAACTGATTTGGCTGCGTTTGGAGCTGGTGTCCTTTTTAATAGTGCCAAATAGTTGTGGTGCTTAAGAAGACCTTGAACAATTTTCCAGCTGCTTTGCCAATTCCTCTCTGGAGCTGCGTTGCTCAGTGCCTGGGACCCAGCTGTGCAGGAGAGCTGGCTGATCAGTGGAAGGTCAGGCTGCGAACTTCCTTGATTCTCAGCTACTTGAGTAATGGGCTTGTAAGCAAGTTGGTGTCACTGCACCTCCAGAAGCTGTTGCTTTGTTTGCCTAGATCACTGATTCGGCTTGTATCAACAACAGTAACTGAGTTCTGGGATAATTATGTTTCAGAAAGCATGGATCTGTGAGAGTCACCAAACACCTCGTTCCAGATCAGCTGAGCAAACAGCTTGCAACCAAT